TACAGTCTAGTTTAAATTATCTCTATCATGTACAATGTCTGAATTCTTATTAACTTTTTTAAATTGACTTTTCACAGATCTTTTTCAAAATGAAATATGTTCTTATCTAAATGTTTCTGAATTTCCTGATTCATCATTAATAACTGTACTGTTAACTCTTTTAGAAATGTAATGAAACGTGCATTGTATGTGAAATACAGTGGAGCAGTTTGATCAGACGTAAATCCTCATACCTGGTTTGCTTAACACACAAAAAATCATTTCCCTAGTCTGTCTTCATTCCTGTTTGTTTTAAGACTCAAATAGGGGAGCCAATGTGGAAACTCTTTGATGATATGAGAAGTAGGGCGTTCTTAGCACTGCCTGAGCTTTTTTTCAATTGTCGAAGTCATCTTTTTAGTAGACTAGGAGTGTTTACAAATTAGTCCTTATTTTTCATGGCTTGTTCATCTGTCAAATATTGATAAAAGTAATCATAGGATGGTAATGATACACACATTGCTAGTATTTTGCATTTAACAAGTTTGGCCTATATTAAAACCATATTCCTAAAATCATCTGCAACTGTCTACAAGCATGGTCTGCCCTACAGCCCTAAGTAACAATATCAAAAACCCTCAGGTTCCACTTTCGGATATTCCGTGTGATGCACGACAAACTTTTGACAGACACAAACTGCATTTCCAAGAATCTTCTCGGGGCTAGCTGTATTCCAATAAGTTAAAGCATTTCTTTTAATTTGATTAAGTAGGAACATGCCAGAAGTGACCTGGATACATTGTTTGTGGAACGTCTGTGGTTCAAAAGGAACACAGATAGAAGTTGGGGGTGGTGTTTTCCTGTCTTCCCATTTCAAATGAGGTAGAATTCAAACTTTGAAACTCTAAAAGTAAAGGCTTAAATAATAGGCCTGGAAGTTTAACAGTTCAAACAATTGTCTGTTTTCTCTCTCAATAATGTTTATTTTGTTTTTAGGGTCCTGTAGGATTGATGGGACCTGGTGGAGAACCAGGAATCCTAGGATACAGGGTAAACATTTCTAATTTTAATATATATTTGTATGCAGAAATGCAAATATACATGAGCATTTATAATTAGTATTATATTTCAAACATGAAAATTAAGATTCACTCTCCCTGATAAAACTTTGTAATGTGTTTAGTTCTTGTCCTCCCATAGAGGGGACTTTACTTTTCTTCTCAGAACAATGCAGTGTCTAATTGCATGGGCTGTATAGCATTGGACAGAACTTGTCTGAATGATATGGGAAATACCCACTTTCTTCTCTTCTCACAGGGCCATCAAGGTCAGCCAGGACTCTCCGGGCTGCCAGGACCTAAAGGAGAAAAGGTGTGTGTGTATATTGACCTTTTAATTCCAAAGTTAAAGTTAATCTATGAATTCTTTCGAAACAGATTTATGGAAACATTTTCAAGGGATAGAAGGAGCACTTTTCAGGTTGGAAATTTGAAAATTCTAGAAGGAGATAAATATCAAGGAACTAAAACAATTTTAAATTAATAAAATACCTTGTATGAATTATTTCAAAATTAAGGTGAACTAGTATATGTGAAAGTGCTTTGTAACATATGAAGTTTTGTAAAAGCAACATTATTTATTGAAAGAGAATGTGAGGCTCTAGATTAAATGACTACAGTGCACTTGTATTAACTTATTACAGTTTTTAATGGCTTAAGAATATCTGCAGCACCAGTCTTATTAATGATATGATTGAAAACCTACATGGTGATAAAATTCCTAAGATGTTTCCTATCTAGTTAAAGCAGATTAACATTGCCAAGATCCACAAACTAATTACAACTGTGTATAAACTATGAGATGTTTAATTTCTTAGTAAATGTTTCCACTTAAAAATACAAAGCCAAAAATACATTAGAAGATAGTAGGCCATCTATTTTAAAAGTACTTTGTTAAATAGTTGTGTTACTAAATCATTATTTCATTTTAGGGTTATCCAGGAGAAGATAGCAATGCCCCAGGACCACCAGGACCTCGAGGTGAACCAGTATGTCTTTTCCTAAAATTATTTTGGCACTTAAAGATGAAATTCAATAATAAACTAAAAAATCTCACAAAACTCAACTTTTTAGAGTTTTGTCAGTTTTATAAATTGGCTTTATAGGAAAGCAATAATTACCCCTATGCGATCTAAATTATACAAAAATCTTAGATATGAAAAATGCACAAGTTGAGATCCCTAACAAAGATGTAGGTTTAAGAAAATCAGTTCTGAAATACAACTTTGAACATTGAATGCATGACTTTTTATAGAGATTGTCCAAAACTAACATACTTTAGACTTTGGAGGGGAAATATTTCTTTAATTATTAACATCAGACTTGTTTCTGAAGTATTTTTTAAACCTCCATGTACTTTTATAATAATTTATACATGGTTACCAAATAATTTCAAAACTTTTGTTAATCAGTCATTAGAACTAATAAACTGTCAAGCTTATGGATCCATAGTCTTTAAACATTTTAAGAACTAACCATAACTAACTTGAAAAGTAGTTATTGTAACTTTGATCATCTGAATAACCAATTCTACATAGTTTCTTGGCAAATAATGCTTAGCTCACAGAAATAAAGATATTCATTATGCTTTCTGTTTTACTCAGTATCGTTTACAATAAAGGAATCTAAAGGTATAGAAGCAAGATGCAGTAACTCTCAATATTTTGCTCTGGCTCTATAGAGATAGTTGAAGACAATACTTAAGAAAAAATGAAGGAAATCCTTGAATGTTTCAAGTTAAATCAAGACATTTCACATAGAGGCAACCTCTTTATGCAATATTCATCAAATATTTGCATACTCTGTCCTGTCCAAACTACTAAGGAAGTACATGGAAATAAAATATTTTTAAACAAGTAGAAAAACTTGCCAAATAGAAACCAGTGGTATTTGTTTTACCAGATGGAGGCATGCCAGATCAGAGTGTCAGCTAAACTATAATAAATACCTGTGCACTAAAAATCTAATGTGACCATGGTGGCTTTGCCCAGTAGCTATGAAACAGGCTTGGAACTTAAACCAGAATACTCCAAAAAAAATGGAATCAGGACTGGGTATGGTGGCACACTCCTTTAATCCCAGCACTTAGGAAGCAGAGGCAGGCAGATCTCTATGAGATCTAAGCCAGCCTGGTCTACATAGCAAATTCCAGGTCATCTGGGGCTACAGGAGACCCTGTCTCAAAAAGAAAACAGAATCAGAGGTAACAGTCTTTACATTGTGTCTATTAATTATTCACATAGGAATAAGTTAAAATTTATCAATCAAGGGTTAAAGAGATGGCTCAGTGGTTAAGAGCACTCCCTGACTGCTCTTGCAGAGGACCCAGGTTCAATTCTCAGCATCCACATGGAGGCTGACATGGTCGTCCATAACTCCAGTTTCAGGGGAATCCGATGTGTTCTTCTGACCTCTGCAGGCATTGCACAACATGGCTGCAGTTACATATATGCAGGCACTACACTCATGTACAAAATAGAAATAATATTTTTTAGATTTTATTAATTGAGTCTTCATAATAAATTCTGTTTTTTCCAGCTAATCTCAATTTAAGTTTCTGTTAAGGCAGGAGACTCTAATGTATGATAACTAATGTTTTATATAAGTTTGGGGGAGTTGTTTTGTCTTGTTTTAGTTTTTTGGGACAGGGTCTCCCTGTAGTCCCAACTGTTCTAGAACTCACTATGTAGACCAGGCTGGACTCAACCTCACAGAGATCTGCCTGCCTCTGCCTCCAGAGTATTGGCATTAAAGGCATGTGCCACCACACACAGCTTTATGTAAGTTTTAAAGTATATAATTTGAATAGTTTATCATAACAAAGATTTCATTTAGTAATATTTGAAAAAGTTTGTCTTATTTTGTTGTTAATTGTAGAAGCTTATGTAATTAGTGGATTGAAGCATAGGCAAATTTCAATTGGTTTAAGAAAACTACAAGCTTTTTTTTTTACATCATTTATAACATTATACTATACTCATAAAAATTCATGTTTTTCATTGGACATCATTTCTTCAATTTTTCATAGCAAAATAATCATGAAATTCTATTCATATAATTCTGTGTTTAGCACTGAACCACATACTAATTACACCTGTATTTACTATATTAGTTCTAATATCTAGATACAGACATTTTGAGATCATATGGCAACTGCATATAAATTATTGTAAAAACATAATTTTTAAATTCTTTAGCATTTTTGTTATTTAAAATTCAGTTCTTTCAGTTATGTGATGGACCTAAAGAAATTAATATACTTTGTATTTTGGGCAAAGAAATGAACCACCCTTCTTGTATCGTCTGTACTCACAGATGAAGCCTTGAAATTGATTGCCTTTGTGTGTGGTCTCTGTAGGGTCCAATAGGAGAACAAGGAGCCAGTGGAGAGCCTGGTGCAGAGGGCTATCAGGTAATTACTTCAAGTTACACACCTTACTTCTAAATTTAAGGAGGATTTCCTGAAGCTATGCTCAGTTTCAAACAAAATCAAGCCCCACTGAAATATTAACAATGCATATTTTTCTAATTCCAAAGGAGCCTCTCTCTACTGTCTAGAATCATCTTAGTGATTTCCCATTGTTGCTTTTTTTTTTCCTCTCTCTCTCTCTCATCAGACTGGTCTCAGCTGAAATGTCCTCACTCAGGAGGTCTTCTCTAACTACCCCACTTAAACAAATCTATAACTTTTTTGTCTGCCCTGCCTGAAATAGACCTGCAGCTATCACTGTGGATCCTTGTGTACCACTATGTATCACTTGTTCTCATCATTGTGTGAAATGTTATATTACCTTATCATTTTTTGTTTCTTTCTTAATTATTGGTCTTTACCCACCAAAATACCAAATCTAAGAGAATTATAATCTTGTCTCTCCTTTTCGTTATTATAGCCTAATCTCTAGGACTTGCAGTTCCTTATCTGCTGGAAATTCAGTACAGGCTTGTCAAATAGATGGGTGGACAACATTATGGTGTCATGATTTAAATCAATCCTTAACTTCTTCCATTTCTTGGATTTTGAAAAATCTACTTCATCCATTGAAATTATGCTAAATTTTGTATAACTTGCTCAAACTCATTTTTAGACTCATGTTGCTGTTGATGGTGCCGAACAGGATTTTGTAAGGAAAGTCAGGATAAGCTTAACTTCTGAGCTTCTACCTTACATCTCTTGACTCTTGCTTACAAAGTCAATTGATTAAAAAACCTCATCTTCTGTCAACTCTCTCCTACACTTTCAGTCTTATTCTTTGCTCACAAGATCCTCTGCCTTCTCCTAACATAATATAATCTGTATTTACAGAGGTCTGCCTGCCCTTTAAAATTTGGCTCTAACTCTCCTTTCATCTCACTCACTCTAACAGTATTCTTGCTTTCTATAGATGCATATTGTTCACATGTCATTCAACACAATGCTTGACTGTCTTTAGATCTTTTTTTTTTTTTTTTTTGAGACAGGGTCTCCCTATAGCCCCAGCTGACCTGGAACTCACTATGTAGACCAGGCTGGCCTGACTCTGTCTCCTGAGTGCTTGGATTAAAGACATAAGCCACCACGCCCAGCATTGTTATGATCTTTCTGCTAGTTGTTTTTTAACATGCAGGTACCTTAGCTCCCCAGTTAGAATACAAGTTCTTTATACTTGTATAAAGTCTAGTTCTAAGCCCCGAACATTTATGCTTTAATAAGGAATTGATCTATTAATCCAATACATCTCTTTCTCAGGGTCAATGCTCTGTGGTCATCTGTGAAAGACAGACTTAGCCAAGTTTCATGGGCAAGCTGATAGATAATATCATTATCTGATTTTTATCAAGCCATTTGGGCTGAATTATTTCAATAGCTTTCTAACCAGACTCCCTGTCCCCAGTCATAGCTCTCTCAAATCCATTCACCACTTAGCAGTTTCTGTCGCATAAGTCTCTGTTTCCCATGCTGCTGCTTCTGCCAGAGTGTCCCCTCTGTACTTTCTGGAGCACTCGTGTTCTGAGGTTGAGCATATCCTCACTTTCCTTAGAAAATCTTCCCAAGTTTTCCTTTGGCCATCCAACTCAACCCACCGTTAATATTATCAGCAAGATCACTGCTTCCCGTAAGCTATTTCACATGATTTATAACATTTACTATAACACACTAATTTTTTGCTGCTAGATAAAATGGTCGTTGTCCATTTTCATTGAGATATACCAGAATAATTAAAGTGGAACTCCTACTTTAAGAGATTTATGTTTAGACTTAGAATAGAATCCAGAGAGGCAGCGGGTTATTATTTGATCATTGTTAAAAGGTCTCTCTCTGTGTAACCGACCAGGGAGGAATCAAAGTCATAGTGGGCCATGACGGTCCTGAGCTTTGTAGTTTGCTCAGAGGCTCACTCGAGTCCAGTGTTACTCCAGTTTTTCACCAGCCAACTTTTCTCCCTACTTGGTAAGTGACCCAGGAGTCATGTTTCTTCTCTCCTAGCCCCTCTGGATTGTCCTGATTCTGTTATTTGCCCCCTTTGCTCATGTGCTGCTGTTCAAGGTCACATTTAGAAAAGTCTCTTTAGTGTGTGTGGTTCATACTATCTCGAAAGCTTTCCAAATGAGACTTTCTCTCTTGCCACTGACCTCTTCCTTAAATTTAAGATTCATTTGATCAAGATGTGGAAATTTAAAACTTTAATTGCTTCGCTAAATCCAAAGAAAGCATCCACCAACCTTTCTGTGAAAGTCTTGTTAGTCTAGGTATGCAATCCTTTCTCCTAGCCAAAGAAAGGAAATGAATCTGCTGACTGCCTCTTCTAAGACTTTCTTTCTGCAATGTATAGAGTTGGAAGAAAATATTTGAGTAGAAGAGACAGTAGGGAAGGGTATAAAAGATATTTCATGCATCCTTTGAGCATAACTTTCTGTTTCCATGCCTCTGGTTTGTTACCAGTTCTTCTTATACACTTGAAAATCAAAATGGAGCAGGTCAGCATTCTCTCTCAGTGAGAACCCATTGCAGAATGTCAGAATCATTTGATGTTTCTTGATGTTGCATGCAGTAACTGCTTCCAGTCTTTAACGCCATAAGTCTACTATCTGAAGAGCTATGAATTTAGTTTGCAAAATTAATATCCAAGTGTACTTTCACAGCAGAAATGGGTTGAAAATAAGAAACTTGCTCTTAAAGTCTTTATTCCCTGATTGTTGGCCACAGAGTCAGCCCTCCACTTTCACAGTTGCAATCAAAGAAATTATCAAGACATTCAATGGAGAGATGGCTAAGTAATAGAAGCAGCCCCCTAAGCATATCTAGGAATGGTCATATTAGATTCCTGAGGTTACTCTAGCAAATGACCACAAAATGGGCAGCTTCAAACAACAAAAATCTATTAACTCAGTTTTAGAGGTCAAAAATCTGAAATCAATATATGGGCAAGACTACACTCCCTCTAGAAGGACAGAATCCTTCCTTTTCTCTTATGGCTTCTGGTAGCTGTTAGTATCCCATAGCTGCCTCATTCTGATCTTTCTCTCTCTACTCACCTTTTTTTCCCCTTGCTGTTTGAATGTAGATACAAACCTTGGTAAAGCTATTACAAAGATACTTGTTAGTAGGTTTAGGGTCTACAGAATAATCTTATCTAGAGATCCTTAGCTTAATGACTGTCCAAAGAAGATCACATTTACAGGTTCTGAAGATAAACCAAACCCTATCTTTTAAGAGGCCAACATTCAACCCACTGCATTAATTCACATTAAAATAAAGAAACTAACTCTAGCTCTATATATTTTCCAGCATAATATATCATAGTCCAGCTGTTATGTTCTATCCAATTTCTAAGAAGACTCTTAATCTGTATGATATTTAAATTTTACTACCATTTTAAGTGATAGCACATTCTCTAGATCACATGTCTCTTCTTATTCTAATTAGTATAATCTTTTTCTTCTCAGGGTCATGTGGGTGTGCCAGGACTAAGAGGTGCCAATGGACGACAAGGGCCCCCAGTATGTTTTGAAAGCATTATTCATATTTCTGGCATTTAAAAAAAAATAATATTAACATAACTCACTTCTTGCCTTCCTTACATGTGATTTCTCTTTTGGCTCCTCTTAAAGGGAGAACCAGGTGACCAAGGTGGACAAGGACCAAAAGGAGAGAGAGGATCTGAAGTAAGTGAGGCTTGTTTAGGACAATGTGAAATTTATTGCAACTTCTCCACAGGGCAGTTATCAGTCACTGTGTTAAACTGTGATTTTTGAGTGACTCAGTTTTGACTACTATCCAAATATCATTTTATCTACTCTGGCTTTTTGAAAAGTGCCTAAGGATGCCCCCTAAGGTAGTCTGTTAACAAGGTTTCAAACAGAAATACCTACTTTGTAGAGTAAAAAACTACTAGTCAAACACATTCAATTGTAGAAGATATTAATGAGAAAAAATACTCAAAACTTTTTAAAACAAGGAAATGAAAACTTTGCTAAGAGCAGTCACAGTAGGTATAAGGATCCCTGTGACGGTATTTTGGAGTTGAGGACTGGTAGGTCCCTGGGGCTCACTAGTCAGCTAGCTTAGCTTACTTAGTGATTTCCAGGACAACGAAGACCCTGTCAATCAACCTTAATTGATGGACAGGGGCTGGAGAGATGATTCAGCAGTCAGGAGACTGTACGGCTCTTGCAGAGGACCCATGTTTAGTTCTCAACACCCACTTAATGTGGCTAACAACCACCTGTAGCTACAGATCTAGAGGATCCAATGCCCTCTTCTGGCTTCTGTGGGCACTTGCACTCATGTGCACATACCCCACACAGATGTACACTCATACACATAATTAAAGGTAAAATAATGGGGTGGACACAGCCTGAGGAACAACACCGAAGCTTTCCTCTACCTTCCACATGTTCGCAGAAATACACATGTACCTGCCCACACACATGCACATGCCCATACACAAACACAATAAATAAAATTAATTAATAGTTAATGAAAGTGTTAAAGGCAAGCGTGAATAAAGAAAAAGTAATGCAGAAAAGATGGTGGCTTTCACTTTTCTTTAGAATTTTTTAAATCCAAAATGGGAAAAGTCACACAACAAAAGCCCATAAAACGATACTACAACCCTGCCCAAGAACGAGAGTGTTCCCCAAAGTTTCATCCTAAAATGCCCACACTTTTACATTAATACTCTCATATTTTGGGTTTTCTTTTGACATATCCCTGAAATAAGAATGTTTCTGGTTCTTATTAGTATCTGGTAAAATTATACCAATGAAAATCAAATTCTCTAAATGGACAGCTATATCTCCAGGCTAGGTGATCAGCGCTTCCTAGTTGGAGCTCAAAGGTGCTGAGGAGCCACACCTTAAATTCTATACAATTCAAGACAGCATTCCTTTCTGTTGTGGGCCAGGCTGGCACATACAGCCCAAGAGCACAATTTAAAGCCTCTTAGAATCTACACTAGCATTAATTGCCACAGAAAAACCATTCACCGTGTACTGTTCATCAAGCACTCCTTTGGTGGCCCGATGGATCTGGTCCAATTGCTGTCATTTTGTTTTAGCAAAGCTTTACGTTTGTTTTTTAGGGTTGGAAATGGCCCTTTCAGATCTGGACTGCTCTCTTGTTTGTCAGATGAAAAAATTTAAAACCCAGAGAGATTATGAGTTGCCTAAAATTATAGAACTAATTAGCAACCGAGCCAACAATAGAAATTTCCTGTCCTGATTCTCATTAATATATAGAAGCTATGGCTTGAAATCTCTTATAGATTTAAAAACAGCTCATTTTCCCTAATAAATTATTTACTGGGCATTTAGTGAGCAACTAAAAGAAAAAGAGAGGGACTTAAAATGACTACACACTTTAAAAGATTTCTATGAGGCCATTACAAACGATTCATCCTTTGGTAGCTTTCAGTGATTAGGGCTCAAGCCAAAAATCTTATTTTCCTCTGAAAACCAAACTTCTAGATTTTAGGGAATAATAATTTCCTGGTTAAAAGGAAGAGAAGGAGAATAATTTTTTCATGAATCTCCAAATTCTCAGAGGAAGTTAGAACTACCAAAGTGTTGACATAGCATCCATGAGAGTTCTTTAAACAACAACAAAGTTGAAAACAGAAAACAAAGATTTCAGATGACAGGAAAACGTATAAAAATGTCCCTTATTAAAAGAACTAAATTATCTTCTCTCGTTGTCTTTGAACCAGTGCAGTCCTGATGAAGGGAAAGCTTGGCAAAGGGTATGATTTCACATGGGCCACTGGGTATATTTTCCAATGCTATTCAGGTTATAGAGAAAGCTCAATTTTACATGTACTCTGAAAACACTATGGATGCAATTCATTTGCCTTTCCTAGCACAAGAACAGAAAGTCTGTTCATGGATTTATGGGGCCCTTATATTTAAATAAAATGAATAAGTTAAATCTGGAGAAAACAGAATATTTCTACTTTTATTATATTTGAATTTGAAAGATTGGCATGTGACTTCTTCCTTCTTATGGAACTAGCCCAATTAATCATCTAGTAACACCTTATACAAAATATTTTCTTCACCTTAGGACAATATGTAATTTCGTGCTGGACAGACTACCCCTGTGTAGGAGTGTTTAATATTTACCTCTTATTTGAGTTATAAAAGTATCTAGTAATGCCATTTTTAGACATTTTTAATATAAAAATTTAAAGAAATAAAGTAAAATAAAGCACTTAGGTCTAGGCTGCTGTAACTAAGGACCACAGGCCAGGTGGCTTGCAAACAACAGAATTCCATTTCTCACAGTTCTGGAGGCTGAAAGTCCAGGATTGGGATGCCAGCATAGTTGGGCTCCAGTCAGAGTTCTCTTCCGTATTACAGGATCCCAGCTTCTCACTGTACACGTGATAGAAAGAAAAGTAGAGCCGGATCCCATTCAGCCTTCACCCTCAAAATCTCATCACCTCCCAAAGGCCCAACCTCTGTAAGCCTTACCATTAAGGTTATAATGTCACTATGTGAACTTGTAGAATACACAAGTATTTAGTCCTTAACAGGAGCAGTGTAGCAGTGTTCTGTGTTTCAATGATCCATGTGTTTCGAATCTCCTTTGTAAGGCTGTGGCCTTCCTAGCTGGCAAGCTTTCTTTTGGTTACAGTGAAGTAAGTGTAATAATGAAGTCTTTCCTGATTTGAGTAAACTAAGATTAGGGACCATAATTTTGGTATTGGTGAAACACCCTTGCACCTCAATAGATATTGCCATAGCTACCTTTCTACCATTAGCAACATAAACATTTAACAAAACCTCTCCTATTCATAGCATTCCATTAATGACACTTTGTCATGAACTTCTTAACACCTAGTCAAGTCTAAGGAACATTCTAGTCTCCATAACCTATAGTTGTTCAGTTCAAGGCACAGCCTTTAACTTCTAAAATAACCTCCAACATAAGAATCACCTTCATGGGGCTGGAGAGATGGTTCAGTGGTTAAGAACACTGAATATTCTTGCAGAAGACCTGGGTTTGAATCCCAGCACCCACATGGCAGCTAACAACTGTCTATAACTCCAGTTCCAGGGGATCTGACAGCCTCTTCTGTCCTCCACTGGTATTGTACGACACGGGTGCACTTACCTAGTTGCAGGCAATACACGCATACACAAATATAAAAATAATAAATAAAATATTTTTTTTAAAAAAGAATCACCTTCACATGTTATTGACTGAGAATATATGAATCTTCTTGTTTTCATTTTGTTATTTGAATATTTGAAATAAAACACATACATGTATAATATACTAGAAGTAGAACTCTCTTCTGTAATGCAATTTAATAAATGTCCTCTGAATGCCCATCCCACCTGGAGGCTGAAACCTAAGTGTTGGACATTTAATTAATTGCATCTGATCAAGCATGCTGCATTTGACTGAGAATATTCCCCATCCACTTTTTTCTCCAGAAAAGCATTGAAGTAGCATTCTGGGTTGCCATGATGGAGAAGGATAGTGAGAGGGTGACTTCTTCAGTTATCATCATTCAAAATTCAAATTAGTATCCACCAAAATGCATGTTGACCCTTGAGGCCCCCAACTGCCATAATCCTATTACGTTGGCATTCACTTTGGACCATCTGACAGAAGTTATTTGAGCCATGCTTGCAGGAAAAGCTTCCTGGGTGTTGGAATTACACCATGTGCACTACCAGGCCCAGCTCAAAGCTGAATTCCTGTCTCTTACAGAAAATGTCCTTTTTCTCTATAATGACATACACTATGTCTTCTAAAAGTTTGAAATCCATTTAAAAAAATGTAGCATCTGAATTTTTTCTTTTTGTGTTTGCTGTTAAACTTTATTTCTAGCACATTATCTTCAAATGTTAAAAACTTACCATCCCAGGTTGAATTAATCCTGTCTGTGATAACATTTGATGATCTCTGAAATATCCATCTGGTAACAACAAAATGATTCCTTTTTTTTTTCCTATATACTTGGTCACTGTTTTCCATATTTTTCTTCTGAAAACAATTTAGGCTATCATTGGAACAATGGCATGATTTACAAGGGCAGAGTTCCTAACTCTCCTGGAAGACTAGCTACTGTTGAATCAATTATGACTTAAAACATCTCACACATGGAAAAACAAACAGTTCCTTAGGAAATAAATATCTGTTCCTTGATTTGCAAGTATGTCTTTGTGCTTCCAAAGAAGCACATTTTAGGCTCTTGGTTCATGTCCCTTGCCACACAGTAAGTGTCTTGTGACCAGGGACTTTGCTTTTGCATTCCTAACCCCTAGAAGTGTCCATGATACATAATTCTCAATAAATGTCTACTGAATTTAGCCACTTTCAAAAGGAGGCAAAGGCTCTACCTGAAGTAGGTGCATTCGCTAGACAGTGCCTTTTTAGAACTGATTAAGTTTTTAAACCATAGAATTTTGAGCAATTAGGAAATGCATAGGTGATCTGACCAAATTTTCTCATTTTCACATGGAAAATGACCCCTAGCAGAGTTGATAGCAATTCCAGTGGTGGACAGCTAGTTAGCAGTGGTATTTGCTGTATCATTCAGGCCCTGGCATTTGTTTCTGCTTAAGTCAATTTGTTCTATCTATTGACAACTGTGCTTCCCATTTTTTTTAGGGCCCTAAGGGGAAAAAAGGAGCTGCTGGTCCTTCTGGGAAGCCTGGCATTCCTGTAAGTAGCAGGTCTCTTTTATCCTTATTGCTTTTCTAAGTAGAATTGACAACTTTAGCAAGCAGAATAGTTTAGGGCCAGTTATGTCATACTGGATAAATCAGAATGTCTTGAAAAAAAATCAAACTCATGCTGGAACACAGAGGGAACAAAATATGACCACTAACTCAATACCAAACTCACTGTTTAAATCTAAGTCCCTGCAAGTTGAAGGATGCTATTTGCCTGTGTTATGGAGCCCTCCCTGTGGACTCTTCCTCCTCTCTCTCAGTGAACCACTGGAAAACAGAGAATTTGGAATCATGACCAAATGAATAGTAACAAAGGTCAGAGTCTTCAAGTATAATTAAAAAGACATAAGCTGGGTTTTAATTAGAGGACTCAGCCTCTCATTCTCCCAACGTTAGAGCAGAAAGTCTCTGCGGGAAAAAATAATCCTTTTGTCACAGAACAAAGTTTATTTTTACCTTAGCATCATTTTCCTCCTCTATCTTGGTAGACATGTGCTGACTAGCTGATTAGCAAAAATAATCCTTTTGGTGTTTCCCAGCCAACACATGAAATGTCTGCTTCAGGTAGACAAAAGAAAGCATAAGATATATTATAAATACATTCGGATCAAAGATCCTACAGATACCTCCCAGTTGTCTAAGAGTATAAATAAAATAGTCAGATCTTTCCTCTGTCATATAAGTAAGTATCTGGTTTAAAGGCTAACAAAATGAGGGACTGAAGAGATGGCTCATCATCTAAGCGCAATAGCCGCTCTTACAGAAGACCCAGGTTTGATGCTCAGCACCCACATGGTCGCTAACAGCCATCCATATCTCCAGTTCCAGGGGATCCAACACCATCTTCTGACCTCTGTGGGCATTCACAACACAGGTGCACTTACATACTTGCAAGCAACACACTCATATACATGAAATAAAAATAATAAATAACATTAAATAATAACAAAAAGAACCATAATTTTTATTCTTGGGAAAGAACATGACATGAGGTTTTGCAGATAGTACATGACATACATGTGTCCCAAGCTCGCAGGGGAAAATACTGATTTTTTTCTTGACAACTGGAAACATGGACTGACACAATGAGAAATCCCGGGGAATCACACTAGTGCTCAAAAAGTTCCACAGTAAATTGCTAAATAACTTGTCATTTCTGTTGAGAAAACTTTGGTTTTCAGGGTCCTGGGGACTGAAATCAGGGCCTTATGGTGCTAAGTAAATGTTCTGCTACTGAACTATGTGTATCCCTAGCTCTGTTTAGGGAACTTCCGAAGGCAACTGCCTTGGATATACAAGTCATTAAGAACTATAAGAAATAGAGGAAATCTTATCCTAGGACAAAGCATAGAAGTATATAATGTGCCCCACTCCCGAAAACATCATCTTCCCAGTTTATCTCTATAATCCAAATAATTTTTAATTACCAAGGGACTTCCAGGCCTTCCTGGGCCAAAAGGCCTGCAAGGATACCACGGAGTAGATGGGATTTTAGGAAACCCTGGAAAAGCCGGGCTACCAGGAAAACAAGGACTTCCCGTGAGTAGTGTGAATGTATCTTTGTTCTTTATTTCCTCTGCATAAATGTTTCCTTGTAGACCATAGGGATGTGGCTATCTTTCTTCGTTTGTGGATTGGCTTACATTAAGTTAATCACTCGTCTGATAGTTATTTGGGAATTGTATTAATGATTTATAAGGATGTCAGTGGCTACGTTCTCACAGATATTTTATACCTAATAATCCATAGTTGCAATCTATACTATTTTTGTGCATGTAAAAGCATTCTTTTTAAAAGAAAAAAAAGCTATAAGGAAGATATAATTTAGTGGTTCCACAACCTGGCTGTGTTTGATTTCATCATATGTCCTCAGTCATTTTTGGAACATTTCAGTCTTGGCGGTTCTCCAAGATAGATTCTTCCCAGAATCATTTTCCTTTTGCTTTTACAGCCCCAGTATTTTCAAGAATTTTGTGAATATTTTCTCCATTCATCTGGGGTGACAAAATGAAATTCATTATTATTTTTATGTAAATTCTTATCTTATTTGATCAGAATTTTTTTACATTTATTTATTTACCTTTTTATGTGTATGAGTGTTATCCCTGCATGTATGTAAGTGCACCCAAGTCATGCAATGCCTGTGGAGGACAGAGGAGAGCATCAGAGAGCCCCTGGAACTGGTGTTATGGATGGTTGTTAGCCACCACGTGGGTACTGGGATTCAAAGCCAGGTCTTCTGCGAGAACTGCCAGTGCCCTTAACCTATGAGCCATCTCTCCAAACCCTTGATCAGAAATTTTAAAACCACATACTTTTAAAGGCTTATTTTAATTATGTGTGTGTGCATCTGTGTGTGTGTGTGTGTGTGTGTGTGTCTGTGTCTGTGTGTGTCTGTGTCTGTGTCTGTGTGTATGTCGCACCTGCAGAGCCAGAAGAGGAAGTCAGACCCCCTGGACTTGGAGTTATAAGCAGTGATCATCAGTGGTGGAAACTGAACTCTGATTCTCTGCAGGAGCAGTACACACTCTTAACTGCTGAGCCACTTCTCCAGCCCCAAAACCATATTTTGTCTTCACTTAGCATCCCCCCGCCCCACTTTTCCCTCCGTTTCTACCTAATCCAGATGTTTGTTATCCCAGATTTTTCACTTGAAATATTAGAAGAATTAAATATTTCCCAAAACCCCATAAAATTTAGCACTTTACATTTCCATTAATTGCATATGGTTATCTATAGATTTGCTTCTCTTTCATTAAGTAATAAATCAGTCCTATTTGTTTATTTATATCTGGCATGGTGATGTGTATAAACCCAAACCCATATTAATCTTCTTTCACTATGACAAGTTACCACATATGTTTAACCAAAAATAAATTATGAAACGATCATCTAATAAATTGAACTATTTCAGAAATAGGGTATCCAAGTTCTATCTGGAAAGATGAATATTTTTAAGGCTTTGTATTCTATTAATTTGGAGGAAATATATCAGAACAGTGGGATAAGAACTAGATAATTGACGTCCAGGCTGAAGATTTAATTAAAATAAATATTTTACAAACCTCTGCTAATAGTATCCATTTGGCTAAAGAGGATTCCCCCTTCTCCTCCTCCTCCTCCCCCTCCCCCCACTCCTCCTCTGACAGAGTCTTATTATATAGCTTGGATTGCCCCAAAACTCGCCAGACTTTTGCTTCAGTCTCTCAGGTGCTGGGATTATAGTTTTATGCCACCACACCTAACACACAAGAAGACTTTCATTTGCGATCCCAATCTACAACAGCTCACCCTTCATCTTCATCCTAGGAAGGCAGGAAATTGCTCTTTCTCCAGTTCAGTCACCTCAGGGGTCCCTCTGAACAAGACTTGGCGATAAGTCATAGTATCGCCTCTCAAGTATTGCAGGGTTTGTCTTCCAAGAGAATGTTGTGTTCCCTCACAGGATTCTGATCTAGAAGCTGGGCACGAATCTGAAAACTGAATGAGATGCTCAGTTAACCTTATATCCTTAAGACATAGATAGTTTGCAGTTAAATATCAGTATGTTCTAGTGAGCCATGCATGTCTGACTGATTCCCAGGATTCCTCAGTTCAATGAAATATTGCCACAGATCTGTATAGATCAAAGCATTCTGATTCTACCCCACCTTGAGTCTCCTTGTGATAATTGTTTCTACTTTATCTCTGATAGCACAATGCTATCCTGTACTCTACCATTCAGGCATCTCCACATCTCTTTCTACCCAATCCTATGTGCTATTTCTATACAGTACACTAGGGAAATTGTAGCATTTCAATCTTACTGACCATAGGTCACAACTGAATCTGCACTTCAAATTGCCAATCTGCCAACTTATATTCTGGATGGGGAAACTGAGACACCAAGGAGGGATTAAGTCATTTCCAAAGTTACAGAGCTACAAAGGCAATCCAGTGTTACGTGATTTCCCCCTTATCAATGCACAGTAAAGCCTGTGTATTTGTCTTACTATACTTACTGGTTAATTTTTATTGTTTAAATAAGTACTACCTATTTATATAAGTTATAGCCTAAGACAACTAAACTTTTATGGCTTGGCTAATAATTTGGTGTTGTGATTCTATTGGATTTTAAGTAGATAATATCTTCAAATAATGACAAATTTAGCCAGGCATAGTGGTGCAGGCCTTTAATCCCAGCACTCGGGAGGGAGAGGCAGACAGATCTCTGTGAAATTGAGGCCAACCTAGTCTACATAGTAAGTTCTAGACCAGCTGGGACTAGAGGGAGACTGTCTCAAAAAGATCAAAATAATAACAGTAATAGTAATAATAATAATAAATCTATCTCGTATTCATTTCCTTTTCTTCTGTGTGAGTTGTAAGGGACTTTCCATGCTATATTTAGAAGTGTCATGAATAGTGGGAATTCTTCCATTGCCCCAGATCATAGATGTAAAGCATCTAATATCTCCCCATTAGACTCATTTCCATCTAAATTCCCTTGTCCTATACTTTTTGCTTCCCCTTTCCTGATTACCATCAGGTGACTAAGTTTTCTTCTGCTGACTTAAGTTACCTGTTCTTTTGCTGTTATTATTGTAGTAATAATTTTGAACTTTATAAGCAAATGTGTGTTTACTTAGTCTTTTGATTTGTTTAACATATCACTACGTGTATCTTCCCTGTAATTCAACAAGTAGTGGTGTGTACCTCAGGTACCTTTTTGTCATAAACCTCTACTCTCTATCACTTTTCATATTGCCTTAGATTTTGACTACAAGGTACTATGCATGCATTTATTCTTGGTTTTATTCCCTTACGTTCTTACATTTTTGAGTGAGGTAAATTTAAACTACTTGAGCACTGTTGTTTTCAGTATTCCTAATAATAAAATCTGAATTTGCCTGTGAGGCAAACCTTCTGAGGTTCCAAATGATACAAATATCTTTCTTATTCCCTCATGTTTGCAAGACACATTCAACATTGTCCTGGAGATTCTTGTAAATGCAGAGGGCTCCATTCAGGTAGCATAACAAATAAAAGGCATTCAGGTTATAACAGAAGAAATAAAACTGTTTTCATTTGCACACACCACCAGCATCCATGTAGAGAATCTGGAGTCTATAAAAAGTTTCTCAATGTTGCAGGATGAAAGGCCCATACTTGAAAATGGATCCCACATTTGTATGTTGTTTAATGACAGTATTCACTCTGAGAAAGGCACTGTTAGGCAATTTCATCACTGGGAAACCATCATAGACTTAACACAAAACAAAAATGGGATAGCTTGCCACAAGCCTATGCTATGTGGTGTAGCCATCAGTTGTGGACCACAAACCTGTTTGTACACCGTGTTACTGTACAGACTACTAAAGGCCATTGTAATACAATGTTAGCTATTTATATAGCTAAACATAGAAAAATACAGTGAAAACATGTGTCAAGGATTTATTTAAAAGTATACCAGGGGCTGGGGAGGTGGTTCAGTAGATAAAGTACTTACTGTGCTAGTATAGAAAGAATTAATACATACACATACATGTGCACACCACACATACATATGCAGGCAAAAAATCACAGCAGTAGAGGGCATTTACTATGAATGCAGTTTACCAGACTGAAAGTTGCTCTGTACATAAGTGATGAGAGAATGGGGAGACCCAGGACATGACTCTGCACCACTGTAGACTTTATAGGCAACATGCATTTAGGCTTCAGAAACTGTATTTTAGAACACTTTTCTTCAATAACGAATTAGCCATAAGTTGCTGTGGCATCTTAATATAAACTTTAATATTTTTTTTACTTTCTGACTCTTTCATAGTAACACAGCTTAAAGCATATTAAATGACCACACGAAAATATTTTCTTCCTTTGTATTCTTATTCTGTAGTTATTTTCTACTTTATAGTTGTTAATTCCTTAATTTTTAAACCTGCAAATGGGGAGTTTCTGATACAAGATAGCAGATTGTATTCTGGAGCCGGTAAATTCAGCACAGTTTTCAGAGCCAGGCGTGGTGTCAGTAAGTGTCCAGTGTCTGCAGCAGTGTGCCACACTGCCTGAATTTTGACTTCCTGACTTACCTTTTTTCTTTCATGTATTAAAACCTGGTTCTCATTGTTTATCTGTAATTATATGAGCTACAACTGTCTTTTCAATCTCTCTCTCTCACCCACTCACTCTCGGCTTTAGTTATCCAAGGTCAATTTCTGGTATTTGCAGATAAAGATAATTTTAAAAACCAAATAAAATGAAATTATGACCACTGTATTTTAGTACATAGAAAAGATTAGCGAAGGACCAATTATTTTTATTAATGAGGGAAGATTAGCAAAGGACCAATTATTTTGGTTAATGAGGGATATAAATTGGACCACTGGAGGAGGGAATGGATGACAAACTAGCAAGATATTCAGAGCATCAGACCATTCAATGGAAAAGTTGAGTTCAGAGGAGGAAAAAGGATAGTAACTAGAGAATAAGCTTAAGGTTGGAAGATGTCCTTAGTGAGACAAACCCAAACATATTTAGGTCCTCATCAAGAAGAACTT